ATTTAAAAATAATAATTTAATAATTAATAATTGTATAAAATAAGCTTTTAAAGACTTTAAATAATAAAAACAATATTATGGATATATTTTATAATTCAAGAAGTATACCCTTATCTTTATAATTGTTTTTATATCTGTATAACTCTTTTAATAGCTTATTTAAAAAACTGTTGATAAGTATAGTATTTTGAGTGTTTAGTATAGTAATAATAATAAATAAAGCTTTTCAAATTTCCAAAACTTAATTCAATTGAATATAAATTGGGAGAATATAGTAGGAGGTATTGAATTAGAATGCTATATTCTATTATTATCTCTTTAATTTTATTTGCAAAAGTATAATATATAAATGTATTATCTATTAAAATAACAAATCTTGGATTAGGATATAGATTATAAAGAGATAGAATATTTTCAATAATAAAATCAAAAAAAAAGAATAGTATTAAATATATCTAAAAAAATAATTGATATAATATATTTTTTAATTATATATATTGGTAATATAGAAACTCCTATATAATCTATCAATTACCTTTTTATTTTTGTTTTAATTCCTTTTTTGTTATATCTATATTTCCAATTATTTGTGTATTTAATATTATCAGACTTGTTGATATATATAATCTGATTTTATTGAAAAAGCTATATTTTATTTATCCAATTGTTTTTAAATTCAGTATTTTTTTAAATTATCTCTACAGCTAATTGCTTATAAGTAAAATCAATTCTTTTGAATATATTATATATCATTACTTTGTATATATCTATATCAAAAATCTTATAAAAAAAAGTCTTTAATTTTGTTTTGATATAATTATAGTAGTTTGTTATAAATCTTTTTTACAACTTTATTTGTTTTAGATATAATAATATTAATAGGATCTTTTGATAGCTGTTTCTTAGGCTTTCCCTTTCTAATACGATTTAGATATTTTCTAACTGTTTATATAAATGTTTTATAAATTAAAGCAATTATTTTGTAATAATTAGAAGTAATGAATCTTTCCCGATATATTAATATATAATCAATTACCTTTGAATCGAAGAAATCAAGTTAGAAGGGTATTATAAAGACTTTGTATATAATTAAATAATAGAATCAAGCTCTAGTTTTAATTTGATATACTTACTATAGTAATTGAATGCCTAATTGTGAAGTTCTTAATAGAATAAATAGATTATAAATGTATATTACGACTTTTTGAGGTGTTTTATAAAAAACACTAAAATTTAAGGTTTTGAACATACGTTATTAAATCGGGTATAAAAGATAAAGAGATATCTTAATACAATAGTCATCCAAAAGAGCGACCTCGCTGGATTAAATATATTTAGAACGGTTAAAGTTCTAATTAAAGGTAGACTAGCGGCTAAAAGAGCTATTACAGTGTTCAAGACTTTATTTTGAGGGCCTTTAAATTACACCGGTGAAATATTAATCCGTAAAATGATTACACTCAATTTAATAACGTGTTTCCAAAACCTTAAATTTCAGTACTTTATCAAAAACACTTAAATATTAGATTTTCCAATTTCAATCTATAATATCTTTATTAATTGTGATTTAATTCAATTGAAAATTTAATTAAATGATAGAGAATAATGAATTGTATTATTTATACAATTTTTGATTATTTTAAATCGTTATTAATCGAATTAGAAATTTCAAAACGAAAGTTTGAAAATAGTTTGAAAATATATTAATTTTCAATCTCAAAATCGAATTTATATTTTATTCATTTTCAACTTTATAATTATTTATTTAATATATTTATAAAACTATTTATTGATTCCTTTAATTAAGATATTAATTATTCTGAAGAGTTTATTCAATTTGAAGATATATTGATAAGTCTAGAAGTAATTGAAATTAAATTTCAAAATTAATAAGGTAGAAAAAATCGCTTATTTTTTTTGGAAATACGTTATTAATTTGGGTGTACGGAGCTCATTTTGTTCATTTTTTCATCATCTCCAATTATTGGGATATTCATGCATTGGCATATTGACAAAAAGCGGAACCTTGCTACCATGACAATTATTTTCAGAGAGATCTTAACTCAGGTGGCTCTACGAGTAGCAATTGGATCACAATTAAGCGCGAAAGTAATCCGAAGTTTCCTCGCACGACATGTGCCCATAAGGTTAGCTTCAATATGAAACGGCTATACGCGCTTTCATACCATGAATAGATGAGCCTGCCCAACGACAATCTTCTCGACGTTGTCTACCAGTACTCTCTTTATATAAAGCAAATCGAAATACGAGAAACCATTTGAGATTCCATGACAAATGAAGACGTATTTGTTCAGGGAAAGAGGGCCGGAAGATTTCTGTCTCTCCTAGAGCCAAGACTCCAGCTCGTATTTAACTAAATATGCTCTCGCGAAACTCTGCGGCATCTGATATTCAACGATAGTAGTTACTCACAAAGACATTGACATTACGACTTTGTTACTTGCAAACCGATACAATATCTGCGAAGCAAAACTCATAGGGTTGAGGGACGTGGTGGCATCAAGCAAGACACATCAAACTAAATGTAAAGATTCACATTCTGAGAAGCTTGACTATGTCTATGTTGATCACTCCATGTAAAGAATCTTTCCTATGGATTTTAAATCAGCGAAGTGTGACGAATACAAGTGCATCGATGGGTTCTAGTTTCTGGTAAGGGGATGTTCTTACTTAGTATTGGCCACAGAGTGACTACCCAGAGATGTCTTGTATTCTTATGAAATACAAATTGCTCATGCCAATAGTTTGTGCAGAATTGTTTGCAAAGTGTCAATGGACGTCTCTCCGGCTCATTTCAGTGTCTCATAAACCAATGGAATAAAAGGCTCAGTCCCCCATGGTAGCCATGTTTTTCCAACCTCGGATTTTCCTTTAATGGGCCGCCACATAAAGTACCTGTCGACATCAGTCATTGCCCATACACAATCGAGATTCCGAGTAGTGCTCACTGAGGCTCAGGAGACAGTGTTTCCTCCAGATTTTTCCAAGTCGTACTTGAATTTTCAATACTGATGTTAACCACCACCTCGTAGTATGTCATGAATCCATACTCTTCGTATAGTAATCTTCCCGTCTCGGTCGCCTCTACATATGCATCGACACCTAGTTCATCAGCTCTTTCGACACCCCAATCCATCACCAATTTCATAGCACCTTTCCTACGAAATTTCGGAATGGTGAACGCGATGTTTAAGACTGCGGTATTGCGATTTTAGCATGGATCTTGTGTTTCCGGCGAGTATAACATCAGATACGCTTATACTTACGCAAGTATGGTCGATTACAATGTAGGTAATACTTATGGGCCTCAATTTGTCGAATGAAATTGTTGGCATATTCTCGACCGATTCCCTCTGGCCACCAAAGAGCAACGACCGGGTCTGCATTATTGACAGTGTCTGCAACCGCTTCGAAATAAATCCAATTGGCAGCTCCGATCAGCTTTCCATGCGTAGGCTCAATGATTTTCATCCAATAACTATTAGGAGATCTCTGTGCATGGTGTCTTATTGCAGATTCTGTGGCTATCTGAATAGATCGCTCTCGTTCCTGCGGGGAGCTATCTTTGAGATAATAGACTATTCGAAGATAGGAATTGAAAGGGTTCTCAAAGGCTTCCCAACAAGCTTTCATCATTTCCTTGAATTCGGCTTCGCTTTCGAACTCGAGACGTTGGAGATTCGATTTCATTGTAATTATGGATTATGTCGAAGGTGACGTTGCAGGCAGGTGTTATTTGGTGAACTATAGAAGACATATGAAATGTTATTTTTGGCCGATCCTGAATTCAATCATTCATGACACCTTGCCGTGGCTACCTATGTATTGACAGTACCCAATTTCTCATTTTGCAATTTTAAGAATATTCACCTTTACTTTTCCTCAAACCCAGAATGTGAAATTTAAATTTTGAGTTCTCCGCCCTTCAACACTTCTTTCCGTATTTGTTTTGACGCGTAAATGACTGGTGCATCAACACGTCTTTAACCATCAAGTTTCAAGACACCAAACTGTACAGTGCTGTCGCCTGATGATATTCTCATTCTAATGTTTGATCATCGATTCCCTCTTTAACGACAATCAAACCTCGATGCTTACCTACCTACCTACCACAACTCATTACAATATCAAGGCTCGAGCCACAGCTTTTTCATAGGAGTACTAAAAATGCTACGTGTGATGCGGCTATGAGATATACACAGAAATTATATACGAATGAGATGGAGATCTTGAGAAAACTGCTTGTCGGGGTCAATCATTGGCAGCGGAAGCTGAAGAGATTTTATCTAGAGTATATAAAGTTGCGCCACATTTATCCAAATCTCGTTCTTCAATTCTAAATCCGGAAAAGGCTACAATGCGTAAGGGGAGTCCCTGGTCATGCTGGAAGGCGAATGAAAGTATTAGGAATGCGGCGACGGGGATTTAGATGCCGCATGTGTTACTGGTTAGGAAGGAGGATTACCTAGATTAAGCACCGGATGGCGTAGAGAGGAAGTATATTTATATTGTTCAAGGGGTAAATCATTTTTGTTTTTGACACCGACGAGGGGAGAGGAGATGGGACGCTGGGCCGGGCATTCGCGCTCTGGGGAAATGCGCATTTACATGGTTTTTGACAAGGCAGGAACTGGGATTTGAGGAGGAATATGATGGTCAAGCTTTGTGTTGGTTCAAGGTAATGTAGGAGTTTTGATAGGCTGGACTTCACTCTTGCGATCAGAAGCTTTTGATTTCTGTATTCGATTGCTAGTTTTGGACTTTGGATACCCTGGGAAAGTGTATGAATAGCAGTGATATAAAGATATGAAGTTTCTAGACCTTCATAAGCGAGCGCTTGCTATCAGCATTCACATTGAGAATATTGTATAGAAGTAGTGTAGCCATTCAAGCAATATATCGAAGCAAATCTGGCATGAATGAATTGCCACCCGTTGACCCCAAATTGCCCAATATGTATTCCCATCCCACTCCTCGCTCTAAAAATCAAAACTTGCGTAATCCATATACAACCTCGCCTCTTCCGAGAAATCCATATGCTCCTGCGGAGATTTCAATTCCGGCGGCGAGATGATATTCTTCAACTCTCTCAGCGACTCGATATCCTCCAGCATCCCTCTATCCAATTTATCCCATATAATGCCATAACCCGGTTTTGCCGCTCCAGCAACAGTAATCACTCTTTTATTCGTAATCACATAGTCGCATCCCGTATCCCATTGATCGCCTTTGAATTCTTCCTCCAATACCTGACATTCATGAACCAGCGCTATTATTCTCGTATCCTTATTCACAGCCCCTATCGAGTATAACATTCCCCATTCTAAATCGAAAAATCCATGACCCTTTCCAAATCGAAGACCTTTGTAATTTATGGCGCCGGTTCCGGTTACCATCAATGGTATTCTTAATCCTTCGCTTCGTATCGCAGTCAATGTAACATGTCTCCCATATCTTTCCATTCCATCCAAATAACTCGCAACCTCCCATTTGCGTTCCGGAATTTCCTTAGGATTCAGCAGGAAAAATCCCCTTCTAATCCCATACGTTGTACAAATGACAATCTTCCCATCTTTCAGCGCCTGGCATCGCAGTTCTTGCAGACAATTGTCGGGAGCAATAAATATCGTTTCGGCAGACATATAACAGTCTAAATTAATTAAGTGACGACCTGCATCATTGGAACCCACGAAATCGCATATGAATGAAGAGTAGTCGTGGTCGAATCTCGAGTCTGGGATAGCTACATGGCGTAATTCTTCCCAAACCTTTTCACGAATCTGAGATTTGTGCGTGGAGGCTGGTGGCGTTGAGCCTGTTTGGAGAGGAGGAGGTCGCTGGGGTGCGGATATGGTCATGATAGTCGAGTGAGTGTGATGTTGTTTAAGATTACGATTATTCTGCCGATGAAGGGGGGTGATTTTGGAAGCGGTAAAGATCTAGAGTGACTAAGCTGACTTCTAGATGTGAATAGGAATTGTAGCAATGGTATCTGAATTATCGTTCATCCGAGTCTTTATTTGAAAAATACGGTGTTTATATTTGGGGGGAGGAGAAGATTTAAAAGAGACCGAAACAAGATGTCTGGGCGTGAAACTCGAATATAAAAATGTTTCACACATGTGAAGTGCAGATCCGGGGAACGAACATGACACGGAAGTTTAAAAGGTACGTGTCTCAAGCCTTTCTGCTCGTATTATGATCCCGAAACTTAAAGCATTTAGGGGAAGAGGTTCCTGTTATTTTGCGCATGTTTGATGCATCTGGAATATACTGTTTACTCTTTATGAAGACTGATTCGAACAGTAAGGTCAAATCTTCTCTTCCATCAAGTCATTCTGGGCCCTTCTGTTTAATATAAAGTCTGTCACGAGGTCCCTGGTACGTCCTTCATTCACGCAATTATGGTGCCACATACAGGATGCAAAGGCTGTATACATGCAGTGCAGCGTCGCCAGGCATTAAATTGGAAGGTCCCCCACGCCGCCACGAGTTGACAGAATGGAGACACAATTTCAACAAGCATTATGACAGCAAGAGCACGTTTGATTGGGCACATAGAAACTTGGGGACATGAGCCCAGTGCCCGATTGTTGCGACGACCTGGAGGAAATGCCTAACAAATTTGCAGTGTACATTCCGAATTGGCCCAATTCTGTCTGTCACTTGCATGTCCCAATACACAAACTTCTTTGCGAAATCTTCGACGAAATACGCCACTGCTGCACGCGATTGAAACTCAAGGTGGTGATGTAAATTAGGAGATGGTCGTTGTCGTGATTCGATCCCTTTTGTAAACCAATTACTCCACCCATGTGCTGTTATACAATTATTACATTTCCTCATATCATCATGGTCTTTGCCCTGGACCTGGAGGTCCTATTTGGCCTGGCATCTCCTGCGCTCCTTCGGCTTTAAGTCTTTGCAAAGTTTGATCGCGCTGGTATTCCATAACTCTTCGCTTTTTGAAGTATTGGACCTACACCACCGCCAAGTCAGCTCAAATATTCCCTCATGTACATTCTTTCCTAGGTACTCCGGCCCATACTCAGCTCCCAATGAAGAAAACTTACCCAACTCGTAGCACAATTACTTTCAAATCCTTTGCTCTCTGCTGCACATGCTTTCTCCGCCTTGTCCTTCTCCGTAATACTATCGATGATTTCTGCTTTGTCCAAACATTTAAAATAAGCATCCCTAGCTTCCCAGCACCTAGATCTTTGTGTGCGGTCCGGGGCTATAGGCGCACCATCCGCGCCAATTTTGGGGGGTGGTAAGGAAGCTGGGGTTGAGGATGAGAAAAGGCCCATAGCGTGCTAATCTTAGATTTAGACGGGGGTGGGAGATTGGAGTGTTTAACTGCGTGAAGTTATTGATTAGTTTTCAAAGATACAATGCTACGGAAGAGCTTTGACTTACCAACTATTGTCTATGGATTCCAGGTTGTTGTGATAAATTGAGAGGTTCGGGAGAAGTTAGCGATCAGCCACAGCCACAGCCACAGCCACAACACTTTCATCATCGACCTCGGGAAGCTGAATACACCTGGACACGCTTAAACTTCGGGGAATAGGACACACCCACCAAGACGGCATCTCTTGACCTTGCAGAACACGCCGTCTCATTTTCTTAAAGTCTATTTCACTAACCCAGGCGAAGAATTGATTGTGCTTTGACATTTGTTTTTGATGATCTTCAAATCAAGTGTGATCCTTTCGATTGTTCGATTCTACTCCCTCATGAGTGGCGAGTCCCTATGTGTGTTACCAGCCAGAGACTAGTTGGCCTTACCTATGGCCTTGCTCATACCGAGTCATACATCAATACGTTTCTGACTAGATAGTAGATATCAGACGTGGAACCAATTTCAATCCATACCAGGCAGATCAAACTAGTGGATTATCTCGATTCCCCAGTCTCACGGGATCTTGAGGGTCTTGACTCTTGAGGGTCTTGAGGGTCTTGAGGGTCTAAATGCCCCGAAATGGAGAGACCAGAGTACTGGTAGCCAATAAACACTCTTTATAGATCAAGTGTTGATACTACAATAGTTTATAGTGCCTCAAATTTCCAATGCCTTATGAATACTAGTATACTTCTGATAGGGGCAATCCACTGGAATTTTTTTCTTATTTCAAGACTAGTTGTGCGAAGTCCAGAACTCAATTCATATTCATATATCTTAGTTGCTAGTTGATCAACGATATTTCCAGAAGAAAGTTGCGAGAGTGGCGATCTTATATGATGTGGAAAACCCAGAAGTAGACCGTTTGTTTTTGTTTTCTAAGTCTGTTTGTTCTCAAATCTGTTTCCAGTTCATTGATCGAAATTCATCAATATTACAAGGACAAAATTCACCTCAAAAGCTCCAGAATAAAATGGAACAGTAAGTTTGAAGTGACGAAAGATATAAAGAGCTACGTAAGAGGCGTGTCCCACCCACGCCATCGACAGTGAACCGGGAGTCCATGCGTGAGTTTCCTTTCGATCCATTCCAAATACAATCGCGTGCTTGACCTTGACTTCTTGTCTTTTACAACTTGCACCTTTCTTGATACCATAAATGTTATGCTGAAGAATGTATCTCAACAGGAAGCTGAGAAACCCAAACACTTGATCTCGAGGCCATCTCAACAATGCCGGCAACTTCAACGTGGGACATGATGTACGGTAGAAACCACGCCAATGGATCTCGGTCGCCGGATCCGAGTCCGAATAAAATGGACCTTCCATTATCTATATTGAAACATTTGCCTACGCCTGTGCTAGTCCTGGATCAGTATCGGAAAGTGCTATGGTCAAACTGGAAAGCAGAAGCTTTGTTGGGTAGCACAGATTCTTGTAGGAATGATGAGAGCGCATTGATCGGAAAGGACTTAGATGAATTGGGTGTCACATTACTAGATAATCGATCATGGGCACCGGTTCTAAGTGAGATAGAGTATCTTCGACGTGGCGGTACCTCACCAAATGATGAAGATTCGAGCTTTTTTGATGGGTTCCAGGTAGTGGTCAACAATTCATCTAGGTCGAATGATCAGAAGGAAAGACGATTTCGGGCTTGTATTGATGCTTTGAATGAGGACCGTGGCCTTCATTTCATTCTTACCTTCGAATCTCCGATATTCTTGCATGGGAATCCCATCAACTCCGGGCCAGGCTCAATATCGTGGCCAAATAAAGTAAAAGAGCCTCAACATAAGCCAGCCTTCATAAGGGATGACATTTTTTGTTCTCTTCGAAAAGCAATTTTCGACAATGTTGACACCCCCGCATTCATGATAACTGCAGATGGTGAATATTACCTATCGAACCGCAAAGTTCGAGATGTCTTAGGAAAGTCTATGGGGGGAGATAATGGCTGTGGAGGGGATATGTTCCGAGACGCCCTACAGATATGGGATGAGGGATACACTCGTCAGTTACCACCCGATGAATATTTTGGAACAGTCTTGGCAAGAACTCGACAGCCGTTTGCGAATCAAAGATCTGGATTCATAAACCCCATAAATGGAGATCGATTGACAAGTTTAATTTCTGGAGAATGCCTTTATGACGAAGCTGGGATCTACTTAGGAGCGATCTGCTGGTGCGAAGATATACAGGAATACGAACAATACCTGGTTGAGAAACAACACAAGTTACTACGAAGCCATGAAACTATCTGCGATTTGATGCCACATCTAGTGTGGACTACAAGACCGGATGGATATTGCGATTGGTACTCTAGGCGGGTGAGGATGTATTCTAGTAACTGCTCACAATTCATAAGAAACTAACCTGCGCCGTAGTGGTACGAATACACTGGCATGTCTAAGGAGGAAAGCGTTGGCACCGGGTATGAGAAAGTGATTCATCCGGAAGATTTGAATATTCTTAGAGAAGCTTGGGCTTATGGACTGGCAAATGGCAAAGATGGCGAGGTTGAGGTACGGTATCGAAGGCATGATGGGGTATACAGATGGATGCACACGAGAGCTTGCCCACTACTTGACGACAATGGAGAAGTTCTGAAGTGGTATGGCACAAATACAGATATCACGGATACTGTGATGTCACGAATTGAGGCCAAGAGGAACAAGCATCAAATGTTGACAGTTCTGGCTCATGCCGAAGTCAACATGTTTTGTGTTGATAAAAATCGACTAGTGACAATGGCGGAAGGAGCCATGCTATGGGGTACCAAAACTGAGCAAACGTGTCAAAGTAAGGAAAACTTGATTGGGAAAAATATTATTGAGCATATGCAAAGTACGCAGGCAGGGGGTATACCGGGTTCGTTTATCTCATCCATTCCTCTGTGAGAATAACCCCACGTTACTAATATGTTCCAAATTTCTAGGTCACGAAAATTCTGTCCTGGAAATATTATCTGGAAAGGTCGAAATGGCAACATGCGAAGAGAAGATAGGAGACAAAAGTTACCGAACACGATTGGTGGCAGATCTCGAGCATAGCAGCGATGACGGAGGACAAGCACCAAAGGTCATCGGATGCTTGGGCTTGAGTATTGATATTACGGATATGGAAAAACGGGCGCAATTAGAGATGGATAATACGAGGTTGATGATTGAAGAACAAGCAGCCAAAGATTCATCCAAGATGAAAAGTCAATTCTTAGCAAATGTGAGTTATTGGTACCTCGTGAAGACTTCCAGAACGCTAACAAGATTTGTAAAGATGTCGCATGAAATGCGCACCCCGACGGCGGTGAGTCTTCCCCCTCATATTTTTTGCCCAAGTTAAAAGATTATTGTGCTAACGTGTTGGTATTAGGGCGTGATTGGCATGGTGGACTTACTAGACGAAGACCCAACCTTAACTTCTTCGCAACGCGAATATGTTTCTAGCATCCAAC